AAAAAAATTTCCCCTTGATTAGGACATCAGCAAAATTATATTGATTAAAAATCATAACTGTAATAAATTGTCAAGTTTCACTGTCTTGTGTAATAAACATTTATAAAATGTGAAGCTTCTTAATTTTTGAAGTATTCACTGTCAGTAAGTTTCTTATTGCCTTTAAAACCATCATGCTGTATTTACTGTATATATAATACATTTATATGGTATACCCTCAGTTAATTATATGCTATCGGTTCAGCATATCTGTGGATATAACTTCATGTGATTTGCGAATGTGGCGCATCAGGAATTTAGTCTTGTTCACATTTTAAAACTACAGTACAGGAAAAATATATTTTTCATAATCAAAATTTAAATTAAATTGTTTGCTGATCACTCATTGTTGAAATTTGCATTAAGGCAAAATACAAATTATACATTTTACCTGAAATATATATAATACCTATATACAGAAGTAATCCTGAAAGAAGCACATTGCATCACAACAAGTCAAAGTATAATAATAAACTATTTTTATATATCAAATTGAGCAAATTTGTTTTTGTAAATAAAAACAGTATTAGTTTAATATGTTACATGATGTAATACACAGTTTAAAATTAATAAAAGCCTAAACAGTATACAATTTAAATTCTAGCATTAGAAAAAGATTGTCCCTTAGCATTGACTGGGATTCAAAACCAGCCAGCGTTTTCTGGCAATAGCCTAACAGGTTCCACAAGACACATTAAGCATTCACTGCTCCACTGGGTGGTTTTACAAAGTAGTGCAGTCCCACAAAAAGTATTTTTTTTAAAAAGGGCAGAATGCTGTGTTAACTTGTAGTTTGCGCGGTGCAATGTGCTGCATCATCCGGTGAGCATTCTGAATGTATCAGAAATGTGAAGATACATTCCTATAAACATTAAGGGACAATTTACAGACCATTTTAATCAAGCCAGCATTTTTTGGGGGATGGAAGAAAACCTACTTGGATACTTAGGTAATATGCATATTTCACACAGAAGGCACCTCCTACTGGAACACTTCCTATGCTCCCGATAACAAGTATTGCGTTCCACTTATGGCTAATTGCATTGTAATTAAAAGTTTCTACAGTTATTAGTATGTAAATAATGTATGACTTAAACTGTATAGGTGAGAAAGGGGGAACTGAAATAGCATGAAAACTATATTTTTACTCTGTCCTTTTTAGAATCTACAGTATATTCTAAATTAATCACTATTAATTCCACCCTCCTCCTCAGAAACAACTTTTTTGTAGAATGTATTTTGGAGTGTAAGCAGACTTACATTTCTGAGGTTTTGGTCTCAGCCTGTGTTTTCCAACATGGTCTATGCTTTAAGAAAATCGAAGAGAGAAACACTGAATGAATAACCCAGAAATGCATACCTGCTACATATTTTTTGTTAGTTGAAACTGAAAAAGCAACAAAATGTATTACTTATTTCATTTTTAATGTATTAACCATCATTTAACCTTTGATTTTCAAGGAAAAAGGTCAAAATAATAATAATAATAATAATAATA